TGTTTGGCAAAACTCACAGAATTACATACTAAAAAGGGCAAATTGCACTGTATATAATCACATCTCAATAAACTCAGCTTTGGATCAAAAAGAAAAACACTCCATAAAAACAAAAAACCCAGTACCAGCCAATTACAACTGGTTTAACATTTGGTACTACTGTATTACCTTCATTTAAACAAGTCATAAAGAACGAACTTATAAAATATATAAACTATATTTGAATTATTTTCAATACAAGTTTACTTAAAGATATGCCATAGTGTTCTTATAAACTTTACATACTCATAATAACTTTAAAAGTTGGCTTGTTAAATTTGAAAAGTGAATTTAAAGACAACCAAGGATGCCATTAAATAACGATCTAGAATTTATTTGGGGGGAAGAAGTAGAACTAGGAAGTTAAGTTAAATTTTTCCCTCTATTCTAAAATTAAAAAATAAAATATTCCTCTGTATACTCCTTTAATTATTTTTCACCAGCACATATTAATGTCATTAAATATAAACTTTAAAACGTACATAATTTTCAAATAAAAAACAAATAAAAGTTCTATCTCCTAGTAAATTATTTAATTTGACTTTTCAAAAGGACCCCTGGACTCCGTCCTCAGCTGTTGTCCCTGGCTTGTGACTTCCTAACACATCAGTTCTCATTGGACAGTTACAATGAAATGGTGCTTTTACAGGTACTGAAGTGTTACACATTAAAATGTGTACATTATACCGAAGCGTTACACATTAAAATGTGTACATTATACCGAAGTGTTACACATTAAAATGTGTACATTATACCGAAGTGTTACACATTAAAATGTATACATTATACTGAAGTGTTACATATTAAAATGTATACACTAAATGTATTAAATGTATACATTAAAATGTATACATTATGTGCTTTTTTAGATATATTCTCCTAAATATTGAGATAAATTCACAGTGTATGAAACAACTACATAAGACAGTAAATTTTTTTAAATATCAAATTCCTTTGTATCAGTATAGTAATTTTTTTTTACTTTTTTCACTTGTATTTTTCTTAGAGACAGAGGCTTACTCTGTCACCCAGACTGGAGTATAGCTGCCTGATTGTAGTTCACTATAATAGTTCCTGGCATAAGCAATCCTCCCACTTCAGCCTCCTGAGTAGCTAGGACTATAGCCACAAGCCACCACAGTGTAATAATTTAATTTAACCAAATAATCATGGTGACACACAAAAATGTTTGATGTTGACAAAAAGGCAGGGACCTTCTTCCTATGGAAAAAGTCACACAGTTTTTCTCACTCACCAGTGAAATCAAAACATCGCATACTAATTTTTTTCAGATAAGCTTCAGCAGTCATGTCATAGGTTTTAACTCTAGCTTCCATTCCAAGCTGCAAGATATTCAGTTCATGTACAGGCCTTCCTTTTTCAGCTTTTTTCATCAGAGTAACCACAACCTAAAAGAGATAACAGTATTTCCACAAAGTGTGTCACTAATACACAGTGACGATAAGTCAAAAATGTAACAACCATTAAGGATACGAGAAATCCACACATGTAGGAGATTTAAAACTGCCTACTATTATCTACCTCAGAAGGCAAATGTACTTTTTCAGACTTTCGAAGTATCACTACAATATGCTGATAGTTTTCAAAAGTAAAGTACCAAAATTAAAGAAAAAATGTAAATATATATATATATAGAGAGAGAGAGAGGGAGAGAGAGGCAATTCAGAGTAATTCTTCAAAGCCCTAGTCTGATGGAGGGCTTCCATCTGGAAATCTGAGAGACAAACAGCCAATTTTTATACCACCCCTAAAGCAAGCTTTCTTAACCTTAGCACTGTAACATGTTGAGCTGGTAAGTCACTGCAGTGGGGGGCTATCCTGCGCATTGCGGGGCATTTAGCAGCACCCTGGCCTCTACCTACTAGTTGCTACTAGAACAACTCTCCCACCCCCTAATACCAACCAAAAATCTTTTGGGACAATGCCAAATATCCACCTAGGAGCTGCAAATTGCTCCCCCTTCACCCCAACCATTGTCTTAAAGGAAGGGAGCTATCATAATATGTATTACAAATAATATTGAAAAGGATTTAAAGAGTTTTCTACGTACATATATTAATAAGTACATTTGCAAACAGAATGATTCATCTATCAATATTTCAATTACCAAAACTTAAAAACTTTACTAACTCTAATATTAACTAAAAACTCCAAATGTTTAACATAAAAGTTAATTTCAAAGCATGCATTTCCGATCAAAAAAGGAGAATCCATTCATTTAAACAAGTTTATTATTTTTAACTTGGAAAAGAGGACCGCCTCCACATAACTGTTTATGATCAAGGGATTCTGAAGGATGTTCTTGCAAGTCCCTGGATCTACTATGCTTCCTCACATACTTACATGCCTGCTTCTCTCTTTCCCCTGACACAGTGCCTCTCCTAAACCCCTTTCTCAGATGATTTATTTTCTTTAAAAACTTGATTTCCTCTTCCAGGAAATCTTTCCCCAACTTCTCGGTCTGCTTAGATGCCCCTCCCTAAAATCAACATCAGAAGCTCCAACAGTACACTGAGCATTCTTTTAATGAGAGTACATATAAGAATTTTAATTGTTTTCCTGCTTGAATTCAGAGTCTAGGCCTTGACTTTTGTATACTCAGCACTTAGCACACACAATAAATATTTGTTAAATGTGTGAATAAAGAGGAAAACTGAATTAATCATTCCTCGAGAATGTGCAGGTGAAAAACATATAGTCATAATATGCATTTTATTCTATTACGGTGTTCTAGAATTTGCAAAGGATTTCTTGGTCACTATTACCCTTTCCTGACTTTATGTGAAATCCAAAGAAAGGTACGTTCCAACTGTCCTAAAATCATTAAAAAGCATATTACAGGACATGCTACTATTTACTCTATGAAATATTATATCTCCCCAATATAATTTACCCTAAACAACAACTTTTCAAATTTTAGAATATCACTGCTAGATATAAATAGCCTATGTAAGATAGTTTTCATCTGTATTGTCTACAGGTTTACTTTAGTACAGGTAAATCCAAATACCCATTATTTATTCACCTAACTTTACAAAAATAGATGAAAATTACACACCTCTTTAATTTCAAAATTCAGCAGCATATTAATGATGTCTAAAGATCTAATTTCTTCCACTCCAGTTGTTAAAGTATCATTTGAAGCATGTACATCTTGTGATACAGAGATTTCAAGAGACTCTTTAATTTCACCTAAAAATGTTTAAAAGAAATTCATTCAATTTTATTCACACATTTCTTCTTCAAATACTTATTGTGGGCTTATAGGCATACTCTAGGCACTTAAAATCCACCAATCAGCAAAAGCTCTTCATGGTTTAGAGGAAGAGACAGACACATTTAAAAGACTGATAAAATAAGCAAGCCATTCCCCGTCAGACTGAGTGAGCAAATGTTAGCAGAGTCTATACATAATGCACTGAAAGCACAGAACAAGGAATGACAGTGTTACCGGGAGGTCAAGGAAGGCTTAATGGAGGAGATAGCATTCAAAGAAAGCAGAAAAACCTCCTCACCCAGAGGAGAAATTCCAAGAAAAAAGATAAGAAAGTGTGGGAAACCAAAGAACAACAACACACAACAAGTTTGGCAAACAGAATGGAATTTGATATGGCTAAATAATGAGAAAATCACAAGAAATAATGCTAGAAAAGAGAAAAAAGGGGGTAGGAGGTAAGGACTCGATGCCATACCAAGAGACAAAAGTACAACTGTATAAATATGCTCTTTCTGAAGTTCACACACTCTGAAATGCAGTAAAATTGCTTTCTATACTGTAATACACAAAAATAATAACTATCACTTACTAAGTGCTTATCTGGTTGCTAAACACTGTTCTAAGGGCTAAACATGAATTGTTCTATTTAATTTTTATGGTATCCCTTTGAGGTAGAACTTTATTGTCTTTTATTTTTAATTTTACTGATGACAAAACTGAGGTTCAGACAGATTCAATACTTCGCCCAGTGTCACACAAGTGGTGAAATCCAAATTCGGAAGTCTGATTTTATAGCCTTCACTCTCTACTACCCCTCAGTATCGTTAATTATTACTATTGTTGCAGTTAGCATTACATGGACCAGTAACACAACACATGGGAACTCTGCACTTCATACCACAAATCAATATGGAAAACCACTGCTGTTAATGACCACCTTTTAGAAAGGAAAGCATAGGGCAAGGTTTCTTAACTATATTATCTTTTTCTAGCACTATTCCAAACATAATGGAAACCAGGGGAAAAGATTACAGCAAATATTTTACTTTTAAAAAATGATCCTTATTAATAGGAAAAGATTTCTTAACTAGGTAATAAAAAGCACTGAACATTAAAAGCAACAGTAAATTGAAATGTATTAAAATTAACAAATCCTATTCATCAAAAGACCCATCTGGAGTAAAAAAGCAAACCACAGACAGGGAAAAGATATTTCTACACAGACACCAACACACATGCACATGACACAGATAACCAGCAGAAGGCACACATTCAGAATAAATTTCAAAATGCCTATATGTCAGTAAAAAAGTCAAGAGACTTAAATAGTTATGACACAAAAGAGGATATCTAAATGACCAGTAAGTATAGGAAAAGCTGTTCAACTTCATTAGTAAGTTAAATAAATAAAAACCGTAGCAAGATACCACTACATATCCACCACATGAATGGCTAATTTTTTTTAAATTGACAATTCCAAGTACTGATAAGAATGTGAAACAAACAGAACTCTCATATACTGCTGGGAGGAAAGGGAGTTAGTACAACCACTTGGAAAACTGCTTGGCATAATCTGGCATAAGTTACTGATGCTAAATGTAAATCTAACATATGACCTAATAAATCTACTCTTACATACATATCCAAAAAGTAAGAGTATATAAGTACATCAAAAGACATGTACACTAACATTCAGCAACTTTATCCATGATAGCTAACTGGCAACAAATGACCACCAAAGACAGAATGGGTAGAACAGACTGTGAGACATTCATGTCATTGAGTATCACACAGGAACAGAAAGAATGAACTGTTGCTCCATGCAACAGCACGGAGGAAATAAAAACAAAATGTTGGAAGAAAGCAGCCAAACACCAACCAGTGAACTCTGGATGATTCTATTTATGTGAAATTCAAGGAAAGGCAAAACTAGTCTACCTATTGCAACTTAAATTGGTAATTACCTCTGGGTAGATATGCAGCCCGGGTGTTTGGTACTGACAGGGAAGGGGCGGGGGGGGGCCTCTGGGGTGCTGGATACGTACTATATTTTGATCATGGTGATCTCTCATGTGAGTGTGATTGAACAGCACACTGAAGATTTGTGTACTTTATGTATTAACATACAGTAAAAAGGTTTGAAATAAAAAAAACACAGTGGGATAGTGTCTTTCTCTTTACAAATGTTAAAAATGTTAAAATCTAATAATATACTACATTAGAAAGATACAGAAAACAACCTGGTGGGAGTGCAAATTTAGTACAAGTTCTATGGAAGGCCAATCTGCGTGAACTGTCAAAATTTTAAATGAAATTAATCACATTAAGTTTATTTATTGATTTAATGAATATAGATTAAATTTTGAATAGATTAATAAAGATTGCATATCCTTTGACCAGTAATATCCCACTGATATGCACGCACTTGTGAAAGTGTATGTACGAGGATATTTGACGCAACATGGTAATACTGAGAGATGGGAAACAACCTGAAATGTTGATCACTAGGGACCTGATAAATTCTGACAGCTCAGCAGAAATTTACACCAGGCAACCATTACAAAGAACGAAGCAGATCTGTACACAGTGTACCTACAGATAGGGAACGGACACCAAAATACACTGTTAATTTTTTAAAAAACAGCAAAGTGCATAAACACACACAAATGCACACATATATAGGATACATCTGACAAAATTAAAAATATATACACTTGTGTGTACATATACATAATATATAAATATACATATATAGCAGCTTAAAAAATAAGTCTGGTAATTACTTCTGTCTTCAGGTCAAAAATGGCCCTCTGATACTTTGCATTTTTATTGTAGTACAATTTTTCAGTATCTTTGGGAAATGATAATTTATCAACCATTTCAATTCTTACAGGTATTTTGCTACTAAGACTTATTTTAAAATCAAATAGCGTAGACTACCATAGCCTCGTCTCAACTCAAAATTTTTTTTTAATACATGCAAATTCAATGATTATTCCAGGAATCCACAACTGATTTGAATCGTTCTTTACAGCCTCCTCGATCATGTGAAACTATAACTGTGCTGTCTGCCTGACTATAAAATGTCAGTTATCTCCAACTATTTGCTTGTTTTCTTGTCATTTGCAAATGACAATTTCTAAATATTTGTTTACTCTGTTTTTATTGTCTGCCTGCCGAATAAATGGTAAAATAAATAGACGCGTGTATTATGCCACCTATTGTCAGCCTCTTACCTGCCTCTTGTACCACTGGTTTCACTTTATCCATGTCTTCAGTAGCCTCACCAAGATTTTCTGATAGTATCCTAAATAAAAGATTGATATCTTCTTGATTTAGACTAACCTGTGAAATATTGTATTGAAGAAAAGATAAATATGTTACATTTTAAAATGAAAGAATTTTAATATAGAAAATTAATTCATCGTAACAAAACACAAAGGACAAGAGAATAACTAACACTGACTGAAAAGTTAATACCAAATACTCACTTAAGTGTTTGCCTACTTATTTCATGTTAAAAATTTTATTTTCAAAGATAAAATGTTGATGGAAAAATAATGTAATTTATGATTCACTATTAGCTCCAATGTCTTATTATCTTCACTGAAAATTAATTATAATAAAAAAATCTGATCTATTTTAAAAAGTGGCAAATTCAGACAATGCATAAGTTCTACTTTTATAAAAATAACAATTTCAATGAAACAAAAAGTTGTCTTCAATATAAGAAATAGACATTTTTTTCAATATTATAGTTATCTCAGGAGTACTTAGATACCCTTAAACATAAAAATTTGTCTACAAAATACACAGTATGTGATGTAATATGCTAAAAAGCAATTCGCATGCCAATCTCTACCAGTGTGTCTGTATAGCAAATTTAAAGGTTAAGTAACACTTAGCTAAAGATTATATTCTCCTGAAAATAATCAGGACTTTGTTGGACAACGTCTCACTGAAGTTTTTCTTATACCATCCAGGAAAAAAACTCTACATTTCATTTGAATTTATACTGAGAAAGTCTTCAGAGTTTAAAGTTTTAATAACAAAGTTTTCTTCACTCATATACTTACATTCAATGAATCAAGATGACCTTTAATTTCTACAACGGGCACCTTGTGGTACCAAGATGCAGCTAGATTCCGATTTATAAAAAGCTCCAAGTTAATTGGATGCAACAGTTGAATATCAGGATGGGAGCTACCTGGCTGGATCACTGTCCTGAAGAAAAATTAAAATGATACATATATAGAAAATAAATGTTTTAAAAAACAAAGTCTAGCACTTATTTACTGGTCTAAATGCTGATTTGAAACAGTGCTGCTGAGTGTCTTTCAGACTGCATCTATAATTAACTTAATAATCCATTAGGAGAGACGTGCTCTACAGTGAACCATTCTTTAACTAGCAGATAGGTAACAAAATTAGAACAAATTTTAAAAAAGAAATTCAAGCTGTTGAAGAAATGGGAGAAGTCATCAAATACACGATGTAAAGAGACTGAAGACAACAATAGCAAGGTGAATAGTTAGCATTTTCTAATGGGTTTCATAAAGCCCTCGTCCAAGACTGTTTTCTGTACTTGCCTCATAACCATTATTTTTTATTCTGGATAATGAAATCTCCTTGGATGGGATAGAAAATGATTTTTAAATGACTGTGTACTTCATGTGTCCCCTAGCGTGAACACTGAGGATGTAACATCACTTACACATTATGTTCCTGCCATAATGTCTAACATCAACCAAGGCATGAAAAATCACTCAAATTCAAATGAGAAGTATTCTGTGCAATGAGATTTTATTCCTTAAATTCAACACAGTAAATACCTATGAACATAAAAGACTTAAGAAGGACTAAAGAACTATTCCAGAAAACATTTCTATCTTTATAGAAATTCCTCTCAGTGTTACAGAATGCAATTAAATGGCATGGGTGATCCTGGATTAGGGGTGGGAGAGGTTACTACAATGAACCTTGTTGGAATAAGAGTAAAATCCAAACAGTGACTGCATCTTAGATAATAGTATTATATCAAAATGAAATTTCCAAATTTTGATAATTACATTATGGCTAATTTAAGAATGGTCTTGTTTTCAGGAGACATAAAGTATATAAGGGGCAAAAGGTCACAATGTGTATTCTCAAATAGTTTAGCAAAATGTGCTTTAAATAATATGTATATACATAAATTAAAGCAAATGTAAACAATTGGTGAATCTACAAGCATATACATAAGATGCACTTATGATGCTATTTTTGAAATTTTTCTGTAGGTTTAAAAATCTTCAAAATAAAGAGTTCCTTAAAAGTTAAACTCTTCTGGCTGGGCACAGTGGCTCACGCCTGCAATCCTAGCACTCTGGGAGGCTGAGGCAGGTGGATTGCCTGAGTTCAGGAGTTTGAGACCAGCCTGGGCAAGAGTGAGACCCCATCTCTAAAAAATAGCCAGGCGTTGTGGAGGGTACCTGTATTCCAAGCTACAGGTGAGGGTGAGGCAAGAGAATCACTTGAACCCAAGAGTCTGAGGTTGCTGTAAGCTATGACGCTATGGCACTCTACTGAGGGTAACGATGAAACTCTATCTCAAAAATAAAATAAAAAATAAACTCTTCAGGCTGGGTGCAGAGGTTCACACCTGTAATCCTAGTACTGTGGGAGGCCAAGATAGTAGATCACCTGAGTTCATGACTCCAAATCAGCCTGAGCAAGAACAAGACCCTGTCTCTACTAAAAATAGAAAAACTAGGCAGATGTTGCAGCGGGTGCCTGTAGTCCCAGCTACTGGAGACGCTGAGGCAAAAGGATCACTTAAGCCCAAAAGGTTGAGGTTACTGCGAGCCACGACCACACAGCACTCTACCCAGGGTGAAAGAGACTCTGTCTCAAAAAAAAAAAAACCAAAATAAACTGTTCTACGCAATAAAAAGTATGTTAGGTACGAAGTTCAATAGTCGTAACATTCCATGGAAAATATTAATACTTAAATCCATAATTATTAAAAAAGCATACCTAGAAAGCATAAGCTTTGTGAGCTGAACATCCATTTTATCAATTACTGGAGGATTTAAGTCGTCTTCACCAGACACCAAACTGAACTGATTTTGCACCCTGATTAACCCAAGATCTACCACTACTGCACTGGTGGAAATGGAAGACTGTGGGATGATTATAACTGGTGCCTTCAAATCAATGTTGATGGAGACACGGTAACTCCTCTGGGCAAGATCTTTCACACTTGTGGCAGCCTTTTCTGCAGCCTGAGCAGTGGCAGCACTCAAAGACTCTTTGGCTGTCTGGAAATTGTTCAGAAAGTTCTACGGACACAAAGTTAAAAGGAGAAATTCAAACAGAGCACAGGCACATCAATAATAATACCACCATCTTTTTATATGCTATTTTTTTCCAGTACATAACTTTCAGTTGAGCCCTATTTTTCTAGGGATAGGAAGAAATTACTAATAAACCATCTATAGTTAACAGCTGCGTGACCATGGCAGCATCATATGGCTAAGGAAAAGAGAAAAAAAAATTTTCAATGATTTATGTATTCAAGAATTTAGTTTCGTTATGTCATAGCAAAAATAAATTGTTCTAGACAAAAATTATTAAATGATTTAGATTTCAACTATGAAAATTTTGACTTCTATATTCATATATGAACATACCATCTATAATCAAAACAATGCCCACCCTAAAATCCAAAATTTATAGTATCTGCCAACATAATTATCAGAGCTATGTAAGTAGTTCTCAGTTCCAAAATCCATAAATAATGACTTTACCAGAAGTGACATAAGGAATTTGTGAAGGTAGACAATCTGAATACAGCCAACATGCAGTGACAGCACACCATCCACTTTGGACATGTCAGTATACGAATTCCCCTCAGTAGCATCTGGATACAAATCCAAGTTAAAACGAAAAACTTCATTTCCCATTATTGACACAGCCTGAAAAAGAGAGAATGTACCCTATTCAGGAAGCTAATGACAAAATAAACTCCCATTTAGGAAAGAGATTATGTATATAAAAACAAGCATTATTCTATTGAACCACATTTCATTAATGGTTTTTAATATAAGAGATACATATTTTATAACAGTGTCTTATATTCAATTATCAAAAAATATTAACTATTTACTGTCACCTACTTTTTTATGAGCTGTCTTAGGATCAACATCTGTGACAACAAAATTTTCCAGTCTGGCAAAAAGTGACTGTTTTCTTGACTGAAGAGAAAGGGAGGAATCAAGGCCTAAAAAAAAGTTGCAGTATTATAATTTCTATAGTATAGACTACAATTGATAAAAGCTTTCTTTCTACTGCATGATTTTATTCAGAGTGATTTTTTTTAATTTAGTAATATGTAAACTCTCGATTGATAAATAAATGGTAATATTAGGATTTTCAGATTTACAGACACTGAAACCTAGTAAGTTCATTAAAATTATCTGAAATTTTCATGTTCAAAAAAACACATCTAGTGCAAACAGATTATCTTAGGATTTAAGTGAGTTCTTTATGCCTTTTAGCTAGTCATTAAGAGGGAGCTATTAAGTTTCACAAATCAAATTCAATCCAGTAGAGGCCCTGCCAATTTGGAAAGGTCAAAGGAAAGAAAAGACCTAATTTTCTGGTTTTAAGTCCTTAAAGAATTTCATTAAACATATTAACATATTCTTTACCTTCATCAGATCACAATAAGCTGGTGAAAATAAGGCCAAAGGAAAAGTTAGCTGAGTTTTAGCAGTTTTTGCCTAAAAAAAATATAAGGGCTTGTAGATTTTGTTCCTCATTATAAGGTTGTTTTGCATAAAGTATAAATATAAAAAGGTAAATATATGATATAATTATATTTATATGAGGGCTATCCAGAAAGTATCCATCCATGTATGTCTCTATTTTTCATAGGGCATAGCTGCATACTTTCTGGACAGCCCTCATATATGCATAATTAATTACATATAAAAACAATACAAATATAATACATAAATACAATAAGAGTATATCTAAGAAATTTTTAAAAATAAAAATCCTAAAGTAAGAGGCTACATCTAAAAAGTGTTTTAAAAAGTAAGATAATACAAAAGTAAAAAACTTAAATAGATTTAAAAAATAAAGTATTGTAAAGATAAAGCACTTCCATAGACCTTCGCCTGAATTCTTGCCTAATCCACCAGTGGCATTCCTACACTGACATCAGTATCCCTTTCCACCTCCCAGACAACTCAGGAAGGTCTCAAACACCAGGATAGTGTATGGCCTTGACCTGGATGGTCAGATTCTGACCAACATCTACAGCCCAAAGAGAAGGAAGCAGGCCATTCAAACAGGTCCTTTCCGCTTTCACAGCTCAGAGCCCCCCTCCCCCACATTTGTATTATATATTCTTTGGCATTGAGAGAGAGAGAGAGTAAGCAAGAGCGCGTGCTTATCTTTTCACCAATTTTAATACCATGAGAACTTTTACCTTGAATCTTGATTTCAGCAATATTGCTCTTTTCATCACAAACAATGACACTGAAAGCATTCAACTTGGCAAAGAGGCTGAAGCCAATAACGTCACTATCTTTAGAGGATACGATCACTAAAAATAAAGCAAAAGTATTCCATCACAGTGAGATTCTAGTAATGCATGTTCTATTCCGGTTTCTTCCCTACATTAACTGAACTACTGGTTCTGTTAAAAAAAAAAATTATCAAATTCTCAAACTCTTAAATATTTCAAATACTGTTTTGTTTTTGGCTTTATATATGTAAAGTCTGCATTTTTTTTAATTGAATGATAACTATGTACATTAATGCACTTCTAGGGTACAGTGGGGTTTTCACACACAATCCGAAACACTTCCATCAAACTGGTTAAAGTTTG